CATCACCACCATCACCATCATCACCACTGTCACCTCCATCACCACCATCATCATCACCATCATCACCTCCATCACCACCGTCACCACCATCACCTCCACCACCATCACCATCACCTCCATCACCACCCCACCATCACCACCATCATCATCACCTCCGTCACCACCCCACCATCACCACCGTCACCTCCATCACCTCCATCACCACCATCATCACCGTCACCCCCATCACCTCCATCCCCGTCACCCCCATCACCTCCATCACCACCATCACCACTGTCACCTCTATCACCACCATAACCTCCATCACCTCTATCATCATCACCATCATCATCATCACCACCATCACTTCCATCACCACCTCCATCATCATCACCATCATCATCGCCATTACCATCACCTCCATCTCCACCATCACCTCCGTCACCTCCATCACCACTGTCATCCCCATCACCACTGTCACCACTGTCACCATCACCTCCATCAACATCACCTCCATCACCACCGTCACCTCCATCACCACCATCACCACCATCATCATTGTCACCACCATCACCTCCATCAGCATCACCTCCATCACCACTGTCACCTCCCCCAAGTTTCCTCACCCGTCTCCGCCCTCACGTCGGTATCTCCTCCACGGCCCCTCCGCCCCCTCTCTCCGCCTGGTGCTTGTCCATGACCTGCAGCACGTCCTCCAAGATGGAGGGCCCCAGGTCCACGTGCAGGGACAGCAGGGACCCGGCGTGGGACAGGAAGGGCGGCTCCTCCTCCTCCTCCTCCTCCTCCCCGTCAGCGCCGGCGAAGCCGTTGGCGGCCGCCGCGAGCCGGGGCGGCTCCTCCTCCTCCTCCCCCTGTGCCGGGGCCTCCCCCCCTCCCGGCACCACCGGGGCCTCGTCGAGGTGCAGGCGCGGGGGCTTCGGGGGGGCCTGTGCCGGGGGCAGGGTGAGCGCCTGCGGCCCCCCCAGCGCCGGCAGGGAAATGGCGTTTTTGAGCAGCGGCGACGGCGCCGCCGCCTCTCCCGCGCTCATGGTGGCCGTGCGAGAGAAGGAGAACGGCGACGGTGACACCTCGGCACCGCCGGCGACACCGGCACCCTCATGGCGCGGCAGCAGGTGGAACTTGCCCTGCAGGAAGGAGGTGTCCCCGAACATGTCGCTCTCGCCGCCGCTGCCCACGTGGATGGTGTGGCGGAAGTCACCCAGGGGGGGGGCTGATCATGTCCGAGGAGAGGATGTCCCGCAGCTTCTCCTTCTTGCCCTTGCGGCTGCCCCTCTTCAGGTAGATCGGCACCTTGGTGGCCATGGTGGTGGTGGTGGCGGCGCCGGCGCCTCCCCGGCCCGCGGGGCCTCAGCGCCGGCGGGGCCGGAACCGCCTGGGAAAGGGGAGAGAAAAGGGGGGAAATGGTTAAACCTGAGTTCCGGCACATCCGAGGATCCTCGACGTCTGGAATGAATTCCAGACCTTTGGTGGCCGTGGCGGTGCCAGGGTTGGATGCCCAACCCAACCCAACCCAACCCAACCCACGGCGGCCTTGACACTAAAACCGCCTGCAAAATGAACAGAAAAAGGAGGAAAATGGTTAAACCCAAGTTCTGACACATCTGAGGATCCTCGACATCGATGCGTCCCGGGAATGAATTCCAGGCATTCCCTGTTCCCCATCCAAAGCTCGTTGGCCGCGGCACCGGCACCAAAATGAACCAGAAATGAAATCCAGGCGCTCGGGGCCTCGGGATCGGCTCCGAGGGGCGGGAAAGCCCCGGGCAGAGCCGGAGATCTGGGAGTGTTCCCGCTTTTGGGAGCTCAGGGGTCGGGAGAGCGGAGCCGCCCCGGGATGTGACACCACGAGGGGCCGTTCCCGGCTGGAATTCCGCCCTGCCCGGGGCCAGGGAGCCACAGGAACCCGGGGAATGGGGAGGATTTATCCCTAAAAATGTCACGGGAACACCCCGAGGGAGGGAAGATCCCGGTTCACCTTCTGGAATCACCTCGGGGGGCCGATCCCAGTGAGCGCTCCCTTATTCCCTCTTTTTATGAAGCATTCCCTATTTTCAGGGCATGTTCCCTCATTATTCCCTATTTTCAGGGCACGTTCCCTCATTATTCCCTATTTTCCCCCCATTCCCTCCTCCCGGTGCCGACAAATCCCGTCCCAGCTCCAAGTTTGTGCCGCTACAACCGGAGCCGCTCCCGAGGCCGGAAGCACCTGAGTGCTCCGATCCCACCTCCTGCTCCCTCCTCCCCTCTCTTTGGGGAGTGTTCCCCATTTTCAGGGCAGGTTCCCTCATTATTCCTCATTTCCAGGGAATATCCCCTCGTTATTCCCCCCATTCCCTCCCCTCGGAGCCCCCACACCCCGGCCCAGGCACCGGAGTCGCTCCCGAGGCCGGAACCACCCGAGGGCTCCAATCCCACCTCCTGCTCCCTCAGCCTTTCTTTTTAGGGAATAATCCCTGTATTTTCCCTGGAAACAGGGCGTGTTCCCTCAGCATTCCCTGTTTTCCCCCGTTCCCCCCCTCACAGACCCGCGCTGGTGCCGCCACAGCCGGAGTCGCTCCCGAGGCGGATCCGGAGCCGCCGGAGATCCCGGAGCGAGGCGGGAAGGTGGGAATGAGCCTCGGGAGGGTGGGAATGATCCTCGGGAAGGATCCTGGGGAAGGAGGAGCAGGCCCCGGGAGCGTCCCGGCCGCTCCCAACCCGCTGCCGCCGCCGGTTCCGGGCGGGGAAAATCCTGACGGTGCGGAATCCGGCGCCGCTAATCCCGGGATTAACGGCGGGGACGGGGCGGGGGCGGCCAAGGGGTGACGGACACGGGGAGCGGGGAAGGAGATCCCGGAGATCCCGGGGATCCACAGGCCTGGGACGGCCGGGAAAAACACCGGCACCGGTAAAAAAAAATAGGGGGGAAAATACGGGATTGGGGGGAAAAAAGGGGGGTCTGTAGGGAAAAAAGGTGGATTTTTTAGGGAATAAACGGGGGTGTGTGGGAAATAGCAGGGAAAAAGGGGATTTGTAAGGAAAAAGGGGGGTTTGCAGGGAAGAAGGGGGGTTTTTTAGGGAAAAATGGGGGATTTCTTAGGGAATAAATGGGGGTGTGTAGGAAAAAGGTGGATTTGTCAAAGAAAACCTGGGTTTGGAGGGAAAAAGGTGGATTTTTTTAGGGAACGAAGGCGGACGTGTAGGAAAAAGGTGGATTTGGGGGGGAAGAGGGGATTTGGGAGGAAAAAGGGGGGTTTTCCAGGAAAAAAAGAGGATTTGTAGGGGAAAGGGGGGATTTTTAAGGAGCAAAGGTGGATTTGTAGGGAAAACAGTGGATTCGTGGGGAAAACGTGGGTTTTTAGGGAAAAGTGGGTTTACAGGAAAAAAGTGGGGTTTTTTTTCGGGAACAAAAGTGGATTTGTAGGGAAAGAAAAGGTGGATTTGTAGGAAAAAAGGTCTCTTGTCTCTCCAAGGAATTGATTCCCAGGTGAGGAAGATCCAGGAGCGACTCATCCCATGGGAATGATGCTTTTCCCTCCTGGAAGTCCCAGAACCCCCAAATTCCCCCCCCCAAATTCCCGCTCCCTGTGGGACAAAGGCACCAGGAGAACACTGGGAATGTTCGGGGCTCTTCCCTTTGTGCTCCCGGAGAACAAAACCCCGGGAAAAGGGGATTTGCTGCCAGAGAAACTCCGGGAAGGGCCGCCAGTCCCTCCCAAAAATCCCTTTTCTCGGCGGTTTTTGCAGCCAAAAAACCCAACCCGAGCTCGGGAACGTTCCTGGGGCCTCCCATTCCCAGCAGGAATGATGCTCTGGGGGAGGGAATTTTGCTCCTTTTCCTCCTGTTTTTGGCAATTTTGGGTTTAATTCAGGGGAAATTTGGGCTCTTTTTGCCCGTTTTCAGGAATTTGTGCCTCATTGCAGGAAAATTTGGATTCTTTTCCAGGAATTTGGGCCTCAACTCATCAAATCTTGTTCATTTTCCACCTGTTTCTGCCAATTTTGGGGTTTGGCTCAGGAAAAGTTTCAGGCCTTTTTGCCCCTTCCCGGAAATTCATGTCCCACCACAGGAAAATTTTGATCCTTTTCCACCTGTTTTTGGCAATTTCTGCCTCTAAAACGTGAGAATTTGGTTCTTTTGGGCCCATTTTCAGCACCTTGGGCTGCGGGACGTCAAAATTTGTTACTTTTTCGGCCTGTTTTTCCTAAAAATTCCTCCCTTTCCGCCCTGAAATGCCCCAAATCTGCCCTGGAATTAATCAAACCTGCCCTGAAATGCCCCCAAATTAATCAAATCTGCCCTAAGATGCCCCAAACCTGCCCTAAAATGAATCAAATCTGCCCTGAAATGCCCCAAATCCGCCCCCAAAGTGCCCCTCAGCTGCAGGAGGGCAAAAAAAAGGGGAATAACAACCTTTGGGATGAGGATTAGGGACTTTTTTAGGGAGTTGGGGACGTTTGGAGCAGCACTTCGGGAGCTGCCACAACGACCCCGGGGGAGGATTTATCCCAAATCCCTCGGGAAAGCTGGAATGGCTTAAACCAGGCCGGGAATCCCCCTCCAGCGCTGCCCCACCTGGAGCATCCCAAGAACCCGGACCGTCCAAACGCTTCCAGAGGGTTTTCCCAGGACCGGGAAAACCCCCCCCCAAAACCAGGGAAAAGTTTCCGGTCCCCAGGAAAACCCGAGAGGGAAGTTCGAGGACGAGGAAACCCCGACGAGGCACCGGGAGGAAAAGGCGGCCGAGCCCTTCCCCTGCCGAAAAAATCCCCCCAAAACCCCTCCGAATCCCGGAAAAACAATTCCCAGGGGAGGCTCCTCCCAGGGCCAGGAGCGCCGGGAAGCGCCGGGTTGTGGCGCAGGAGCCGCGATGGGCCGGGATGGGCCGGGATGGGCCGGGATGGGCCGGGATGGGCCGGG